TGTGTGGTAGCCCTGACCAGACAGCACATTATCATAACCTTCTTTTTAAGTTAGGGACTTCACCTTTGTCCTGGCACTCGGTTGACCTCAGAGTAAAGGTAGTTTAGTCTCTAGTTTTAAGTGGGAATATCTTTTTCTCATAACATCATGTCTGTTTCACATGGTGATGGATGAAGAATCTCAAATCTGTCTTGTATTCTCACAATCTTTCTTTTGGATTTCATGCCAGCTCATCCATGACTTCTTGATGTACTTGAATTTTGTCACCTTTCTTGGTATCCATGTTCTGTCCATTCTCTTTAAATGGCCAAGGTGTTGTAATTATTTCTCTTCTAATTCTATTGACAAATTATGATTCTAACTTCTTTTCTAAAGATTTAATTTCTGATTCTGTCCCTGGACAGGAAAATAATAATGTTAAGATTTATGTTTGATGGGAGGATGTGAACTGAGTTAACGGTGTCAAATCAGATCTCAATGACATGTTTATGTGACTGGAGTTTTAGTTTTCTGAATAACCATTGATTGGTTATTAACACATGAGTAATTGTATATTACTAGTGTATTTGTTGATCTTGAATTCTTTCAAATTGACATTGCATGTGATATCCTTGTAATTTATTGAAATTTTGCAAAATCAGGCTAGGGGAAGATGAAATGAAGAAACTGGTAGAACAGCACAAATGGGAGAAGATGGAAGAGAAGATGGCTCGGCAGAGGGTGAAGGAACAGATTGAGCAAGATAAAATAGCGAGACGAGCCAAGTTTGGTATTGCTGCACCAACAGGTGGCACACAACAGATGCCAGTGACAGCAGTGGAACTGACACCACAGCAGGCATCTCTTGTCCAACAGCCTACTAAAGATTACTCTCAAACTCGGCTGCAGGTACATTGTGCCAGAATATTTGAGGGTGCATGTAAGGATTGTACTGTGCATGAAGAGTTTTTTATGTTTTGCAGAGGTAAAGGCTTCAGTGTGTGAGCAGAACAGTCTGTACATTATTTTGTGAATTTTACCATCTTATATCCCTCAGATCCAGTAAAGTTTGTTATGAGTATTGCTACAATATGTAAAATTTTACAACTTATGTGATGGTCCTTCATGTTGTTAACAGATCAGGTTGACAAATGGTCAGGCTCTGACACAGACATTTGGATCCAAGGAGCAGCTGTCTGCTGTTAGGTTGTATGTCGAAATGAACCGAACGGATGGAAGTGGTCCTTTCTGTCTTATGACCAACTTCCCTAAAAAGGTCTTCTCTGATGATGACTATGAGAAGCCTCTTGATTTATTAGGTATGTGAATAACATTTGTCCATGATTACGAAAGAACCAATGACAAAAACTAAGATAATTTACTTTAAGTATTGAATGAACCTTAATTAACTGGAGAAACCTGATGTGATGATATTTGAAAGAAAAATATTATGGGTAAAGTATGTGACTTCTAAGTATATTTTTCTGAGCTTGAAAGTTATTTTTACAAGGTCCTTATCCTCTTGTCTGTATGTGACTGTCTATTACGTACTAATTGTTTCAGCTACTTATATGATATCCTGAATGATTATTTCAACAAATGTTATAGCTTCCAGATAAAGGAACGTGTAATTAACGTTATTTCTGTGAAGTTTCGACATTATGAACTTTTCACATCTTGAACTACTTGCCAAAAACTGCCTCTTTCAAAAACTTTTTATTTCCAAGTTCAATTAGCCTCGGACCTGGACAAAGTCCATTGCTGTACATACTATAACACACATCAAAACATCAGTCCGACAGATAACTCGGGCAAGTATCAAGTAAAGGAACCAGCATAGGGAGTTAACATTGGACATGAAAAGAATGTTGCTTGCAAGTAAAACACTAAATAAAGTCAATTTATTCAATGGCTATACCATAAAATTCTAAGAAACAATACTTGACAATCCTGGTGTTAGGCAAAAGAAACAAAATAAAAATACAATTTAGTAAATCCATATGCTCATACCAGTGGCATCTTTTTACATAAAATCATCTACTGAATTTAATACTGATAAATGTAAAAATCACTTCTCTTGTCTCTTATAATAAGTGATATTGTGTGGCAAAACACGTCTGTAATAACAGCAAGTTTTGGTATATAATGGTTTTTAATGTAGCTCTTATCTGTTGATCGGACAGTAAATAAGGAGTAAATAGATTACTTCAAATCCTGAAATAACTCTTGGCAAATACTGCAGCAAACTGCCAATATAACTTGTGCCAGACAAGATGTAAAATGTTGCCGATCTTTAAAATATTATTGAGGTGTTGTGTTCAGGAAAAAAAAGAGTACTGTTTACCCTGTACAAGTTATTGAGGAGAACATGGGGCAGAAACATAATCTATTTTTATGTATATTGGGTATATGGCAGACAAAGAAAAATGCAGTAAATAAACTTAATTAAGAACTTGGTTGGTGGTGTGGGGCAGTTTCAGGAAAATTGAGTAGCCATGTTAGGTAAGGCATTGAAACTTAAATATAGTGAACATATGGACAAAGAAATTTATGCTGACTGACATTTCAGAATTTGAGCATAATAAGTCATGCATGTGTTCTGGAACTCTTGTTTGTTTACAAAGTTAAAAGATTTCATATTAGTGTTCACTAATAAAACCATGCAACCCTTTTAAGACATAAAAGAAATGTAGAAATAATTATTACTGTTACAGTGTGTAACAGATTTTGTTACAATGCAAAAATATGCTCTGATACAATCATTAAAACAGTAAGGCCAACTCATTTTATAACGCGAAGTAATGGTAATGAAAAACATTAAGGTTTTAATAAATAAACATAGCATATTCTGATATAGAACAACATACATTTATGTAAGTATCACATATAATTTCAAATTGTCATGCCTGAAGTATTTCAGCGTATTTCTAAAATCTACTGGAATGTATTTATGGTAGCATCATGTTCAGTCTTTAATTACCAACACTTTTTCATTAAGTGATAATAAAAGGAACAGAAAAAAATTGTGAATGTAGCATATTGGGAATGCTCTATACAGCAAACTTTGCTTGAACAAAGTTACTTTTCTTTTACACATCATTCTTTGGAAAATCCATCAGCTGTTTTGTATGCATGTTTTTTAGAAGGGAAAGGGTATGAAATATGTGATAGGTAATGTAGTCTTTGTGTTTTTCACCACCATTCCAGTTACCTGTGTCTGTGTACAGTTTTCATAGGATTATTATTCCCTGAAAATACTGTAGTTTCACTACTGATAGACGAAACAGTGTGTAGACTGCCACAATGAGAATTTGATGTAAAAATCATACATAACCATATGCATATTTATTAAATGTGGTTAATACATTCTATTTATTTTTATATATCTTATTTGAAGGCTTATTTCAGTGAAAATTGTTTTCAAGTTTCAATGGAAAACTGTTTGTATAGAATATATTAACAAAGAAATATATTATGCCCAAATTATACCCCAAATAAAGTTAAATACACACTGATCTGAAAATGCTGCTAGTAGCATTGAAATTACAATATAAATATATCACAAACATCAAGGTCTGCTAACCCTTCTACTAAATAGGTAAAGTATAGTACATAATAAATCTGAAATTTCATAGTATATATATATATATAGTAAAATACTTTTTTTTTCAGGATCTCTCTGTTTTGTGTTCTTAAGCTTCCTTCTTGTGAATATCAAATTACAACACATTATTAAATCATTTCTACCATAAATAGTTCATACTTTTTTAACCTCACACATATTAGTTTGATGTTTGAATTTATAAAACATTATAAATCACGATGTGTATGTTCTTATGCTTTAATATAGTAACATTTCACAAACTATGCCAAGTAAATATTAAATATAAAAATCTAACATGTATTGTTGCTCAATAAAGCTCATTTTATGCTTTCTGATCATGAGGTGAGTATACTAACTAACTTACATGTCGTATAGCTTTATGCTTTGGGAAACTTTAATTTATATGCAAAACTCAATACTGAAAGAATGTTAATATGATATGGAGCAGAGCTGTAATTTGATTTGATATGTTCATGACTAAGATACATAGAATTATATTTAGATATTTGATTTTAATTTATCACTTGATTTGTGTGTGTATATTGTTAGTGCATACTTTTCCCATGCTGATTTCATTCTCAAATTGTTTCAGGACTGGTGCCTTCAGCAGTTGTGATAGTTTCCCGGACCCAATAGTACAAACGTAAGCAACTTGGTCTGCATCTCAGACTGTTGAGCTAAAATAAATTAGCTGCATACTTAAGTTACTGTCTACATTATAATTTTGTAAAACTTTAATTAGTCATGGGATAAAGGATAAAATACTTGCACTGTGTATTACTCATGTATCTTATTAAATTATTACTAGTGGTTAGAAATAATAGATATAAACTTAATCATTAATATTTACCTTACTCCAGTTTTCTTTAACTTTAGTAGTTGTATTCTACCAAATATAAGTTAAACGCTTTTTTTTTTGCAAAAACCATTCTCATTATCACGTCAATTGTACATAGATAATCTTTAATACTTCCAGTAAATCGGTATATTAATTGTTTGAAGAAGAGATGAATCGAAATGAATGATAACTTCTCATTAACTTGGTAATTTCTTGTCATATATGCACATACTGTATGTGTAGGAGGAGAAATGCTATATTGTCATCGATAAAAAATTTCTTGTCGGTGTACTCTTTAATTTATTCCCATTATTTTACTGTCTTCTTAGCAAGGCAGGCTGAATCAAAAGACTTTTATCTTCTAGAATGTAATCCTGCAAAAGCTTTGGTTAACTTATATTCAGCACAATATTGGGAAACTATTAGCAAGTTTGGATGATTTTTAAAGTGTCACCCACTGAAGAAATTGTATGATTCGCAAAGCTTCCAACAGCCAGGAATGCTGCAAATATGCTGGAGTTGTGATAGTGTAGAATGGCTTACTGTACTCAGGAGGAAGCATGCTGGGATATATTATTGTTTTCTGTAAAGGACAATTTGTTTGTATGCCAGTTGTTGGATCTGATGGTCCCTTAATTCCATCACAATCAGTCAGAGTCAGATTCTTGTCGAAACAGATTCTGATTTCAAAGAGGTATGTCTTCTTTGTTTTCTGTGAAATATAAACTGAAATTAACATTGTTGATACATAAATATATGTGCAAGATGGATCCAGGGGTGATCTGAAATGTTTGCAACTTTTGTAAAGGTAATAACTATACCGAGTGGAAAATTATTTTTAATCTCATGACAGTAAAGATGAACCATAACAGAAGTTATCCAGACTATTCAGACAATTACGGGGCATATTAATCTTACACGACACAAATACTGCTCAAGAAGTAGGAATCTCGCAGAGAACCGTTCACTGAGAATAAATTACCCAGTACCTGGCCGGATTCGAGGAATATTGTAAGAGTTGAAGATGCATTTGAGGCCAATATGTAGATGTGATGGCAGTACTAAATTCTCTTTAAGAAATATATTCCAAAATGAGAAACAATCAAAATGGCTCGAGATAGGATCCAGTGCTAGTACTTGTATGATGAAAATGTACCTTTTGGCTTAATTTTTTCAGGGACTATTCCATATGGGCTCTCTTAGCAGTAGGACAAAGATTTTATTTACAGAAAGCAGTCATTGGTGTTTGATGCTTGATATATCTACAACACAGTGGATGATGATCTATTTTCATATGTGAAATATGATGCATTAATTGTGTTGATGGTACTCCAATCCTTTTTATTTACTATCTACACAACAGGATGCAGCAATTTAAGATTAGGAAAATATTATTGCCACACTAATCACACTACGGGTCTCAGACTGAATGAAGTCAGGAATTATTTGTCTTTGTATTTTGTTAAATATTGCACATTTCAGAAAATGTTTAAAATAAAAAAGTTGCAAATGTTAATCAGATCTGTATTTTATGTCTTGTATGTATGGTGAGCTGTGTTTTTGATAAATTTGATAGTTCAGTTTGGACCCAATGTAAGAAGGGGTTCATTGACTTGTGTTGCTGCATGTTGACAAAACTGTTATCAATAGCCATTCTGTCTTAGTGGACTGCAAGAATATCGATGCTCATGCAAAGGGTCTGTATATCAAAAAAAAATTAAATTTGCTTGGAAAATTACTTTGTGAACACAGTATTGAATTTCATCAAAATAGCAGTTTCAGAAAACAGTGAATTGAAGTCAGGTGGATTCTTTGGGCGCTGTGCAAAGAATGCATGAACTGGCTATAAATACAGTTAAATATTTATACTTACTGGATCAACAAAACATTGGACTGTGGGATTTTTACCCACGCTTTTCTGCACTGCATTCCAAACATCCTGTGGTGTGTGACCTTGATTACTCGGTTCAATTCCTGATTTTCCCAAGATGTTTGACATATCATACTGTTTTATCCACTTCAGACCTTGACCAAAATATTTGTTTTCTGTATCAAGAGCAGGCAATGTAGCAGCACATGTGCCATGTTTCTTCCACTCGTGTTTCCATAATGTGTATATACTTCCGTTGTGAATATTGGTCCAGTACTGTTCCAGCTGTTTCTCTATTGGCTCCAGTTGGGTTTGATTGAAGTGCATGGATGAATTACAGAACTCTGGACCTTTTGTTCCCAGTTTAGTAGGCCTATAAAGGTATATTATCATACACATTGTTAACCATTATACTGGAATAGGGGATTTAAATGCCTCTAGTACAGGGTTCTCGGGGGTTAACAGTTCTTTGTATGCTAGTGCAACACAGTGGTGAGCTGGATGGCAAGTAAACAGTAGAGCACATGGTGAGTTGGATTATGTGTAAATAGTATGACATGGTGAACTAGGGTGTGCATAAGCAATGCAATCAATCCATGGTCAGTAAATGCCAAAGATATTTGAGGCTATGGTGGTGAAGGTGTTGGTTATGGTCTTATGAATTGTGGCACTGTTTTGTCTTGTGGGTAGTTACCAGTATTTTAGAGGAATGTATTGCTCCTATCTTCAGAGATCAACACTGAAGATGGAGGTTCAACCATGAAAATGGAAACTGCATGTTCCTCTGAAACATTGGTAACCACCTAGAAGACTACATGGCATGTGTTCTATATTTTTAAAATGTAAACAGCCATTATGTTTGAAATTTATTTTACTAAAACTCTGTACTTCAGGGTTCATACTTTCATCTTGTGAAATAGGTAGTGAGGTTATGTATTTTACTAATATATCTGCTAACCTTGTGACTGACAAGGTATGTAATTTGGGGAAAGCTAGAATTCCCAACACCAAGAAGTCTGTTTTTTGATGTATTATCAGATCATTTATTCAGTATGCGTTTTTAAGTGTCTTCCATGTGCCCCACACTTGGTTGTTAAGGCATTTGTAATAGGATTACTTAACTGATCAACAAGCAGAGAATAATAGGACATCTAAACATGGTTTTAAAAATTGTTCAGTGAAAATGTTAACTCAAAATCTATTGACACAAATGAGATGCAGAGAAGCAAATTTCAATATATTACACTACTATCTGAGCCACTAAATATATTTCTCAGTCCTAAAAATTGTGACATGTATTTATCATAATTTTAATGTTTAATTTTACTCCATTTCACCATAATAATGAGCTTATGATCACAGACTAACCTGCAGGATCTATAGCAATAGTGTTTTCAAAGAAAGTTTCTCTTAAGAGTCTTACAAAGACATATCTTACCAGATTCCATGCACTGTCCAGAAGTTTTTTAAATTACATGAGTGTTGTGGAAGCGATTCTTTCCATTGAAGACAAACTGTTAATGGCCAATGTTGTGTTAAAATTAGAATATCCCAGTCATGTGTCTTGTTTCCTTCAGCACTGTAATATAAAGCAAACAGGTTAGAAGATCCTACAGATTGACAGATACACTTCACAATCAATTTTCCTGAATGTTTTAATATTATCCTTCCATTTGCTTGTAGATATCCAGAGTAATCTCATCTACCTTCCTCTCAGTTGTACATCTTATCCATCTCCTCTCACACAGTGTCTGTCATGATCCCAACCCAATAAGTAAATTGTCATACTACTAAATACTTCCCTCTTATAGTGTTTAATGCTTTCATCATCTCCTTGTTGGCATTTTTTGGTATCAGCTGTAAAGCCATCATCCAAAGCATCACGATTTTATTTACCTTTGTGTACATTCTATGCTGTCGCATTAGATCACTTCACAAAAGAATTCATTGGAAAGTTTTTGGAAAATTCCTGTCACATATTTAGTACAAAATATGCATTCTTCCCAAATTTGATCCATAGTAAGGTACACAACATTCATAGGTCTCTTGTAGTTTGTAAAAAAATTTGGAATTCTACTTTTGGACAGCACATTAATGGGAAGTACATGTGCTACCTTGGAAGCATGCAAAAATTTAAATGTTTTCAAGAACAAAGTAATCTGGGTCTGATGTGAAGTGGAATTTGTACGTGATACAAATAAAAATTAATTCCAGTGGACAATAGCATTTGATGGAAATGTGTCAATTTTTGTTGACAAACACGTAAAGGTCTGTGTTTTTGGCACTACAAAATAACGCATACGAATGTAGAAGGAAATCGGCCATTTTTTTTACACAAAGAGAGTTGAAAATTTGATGTCAAGAGACCATTTGGGACACATTAAGCGTGGATAGGAAAACGTTAGATTTCATTTTGATAACATTGTTAATATACTGTGCTGTGCTGAAATTCATACGACTTTTTATCGAGTTTTCCGAGTTAAGGAAATATTATGTGAAGTGATAAATTATAAATAATTATTATTTGATATCGCCATAAAATTTAGTTTTATAATTGAAATTAAGATAGAAATGCGAGTCCTGTTGCTACGAAATGGCGAATTTATCTTCATAAATTAATATCGATATGTTCTCCGATCTCTGCTGCCATGTATCGAAAGACGGTGTCAAGAAACGAGTTTACACGTGATCATGAAGTGATGGTATTTCAGGGTTCCCCTTTGTGCGAAGTGATCTAATGCGCCGCTAATGTCAGATAAGTTGGTGTTCAAGGAAGTGTTGTTTTATTGAGTGTAACAGGCTAGAAATAAGTAGTGATATTGCTTTTCCGTGATAAGATATCCGTGGTGTCAAATGTGAACTGCGTGTTGGAGTGCGGCAAACCAACTGAAATTCGATTATAGTTGCGAACATGTTGCAATGCACTGCTTAACAGTGATAGAAGTTAATACTTGCGATTTTACATAAAAAATTCTTCCTGGGCTACCAGCCGTGTAAGATGGCTTTAATGACTAGTAGCGGGAGAGAATTTATTATACTCGGTCGCCGCGAAACCTTCAGATGATACATGTTTAGATATGTGGCTTTCGTATTTTGGAACCTGAGTCGGGAGGCCCGAATGAAAATGGTAGCCATGCAAAATGCAGTTGTGACAATATTGGTTAATATTGCAACAGTGACAAGCTGCCCATTCAGATTAAATTATTGTATTCGGAAAGCAGGTCAGAATTAAACAACAAATGTGTCAAGGATTTGATGTTTGTAATTCTGTTAATCATACCAAGATATATATGTGGCAGCAGACTGCTAATTACATCTGGGGTGGTATTATGTAATGAGGACACTTGGACTTTGTCTTCAAGGAAGAATTAACATGCAGGTAGAAAACTCTGGAATGATAATCAGTGTAAGATAAGTTATGCATGATAAAGCATGTTACATAGCTACTGCTTTAGTCACTGGACTTCATGGAGTTTTTCTGATAAATTGCATCATTTAGTGTGTTGTATGTGAAGTATTGAATATTTAAGGTAGGTCATACACACAAGAAACTAGTTGCATGATTGGTTTTATTTAAATTGAAATGCCACTCTCTCCAGCTGGAAGTCACACAGAATTACATGAAATTATTCTTGTGCAACTGTTGTGGTAACATGAAACTGAACCAAATGGTTTTCAACAACTTTAGTTTTGTTAGGAACACTGCCATCTTCAGCTCTGAAGAAGGAGACAGTGTGTCTCTTTGAAATGTTAGTATTTACAATACATGAATCTATATGGTGTCACAACCCAGACAAACATCACCATCTTCACCTCTGTGAGAACTTCAAGTTTATTCTTTGTGTTAATCGGCAATAAATTGTTAAGATATATCTTGTTAAATGAAACCATTTTCATGATATCTATTTCCTCATTGTATGACTTTCCTTAATCTTTAACACTGAACGAGAAATGTAGACATTGTTTCAAATGTTTTAGTGTTAGAATTTCTGCTCTTGTCTCCCTGATATTATCATATTGTGCGTGTAGCTTTGCTTATTCTAGCCAATCTTGAAACAGTTTTATCATGTGTAATGACACAGGATGATATATAACAGTCTTTTTAATTTTATCTTCCTATCTATGCTTAGGTTTTCTGGGTGGTCTCTTCCTATTTCCCTAATGGGTGCTATATGCTCTGCATACATTTTTAACCCTCGTTGACTCGATCGTAATGTTTGCTGAAGAATACAAATTGTGGAGCTCAAAAGAGAATGTGTAACTGTTAGCACTGTCATTTACATTATCATTGTATTATTTATTTAATGGTTTATTATGTTATAGTAACACTGGCTGTCTGGTTATTTCCTTTTATTCCCTCCTCTTCCCATCTCTTATTGGTGTCAAAATTATTGTCCATGTTTTCCAATGTTAAATACCTATTTGGTTAATTGAGGTGGAATATTCCTGTAGCAAACTTCTGTTTTGCTTATTTTCTTACTGAAAATTTTCTCTAAATGTTTGCCTGTATTGTGCATTGGTTACCATAGACTTTTGTGCCATGAACTACAGCAGTGGTAGTCCTAGAATGCAGTGCCCATATATTGACAATATATTTCCCAGACATCATTTTTAGTAGGGTCAGGGGACGCTTATACCTTCGCTGTATGATGTCTTTGGTTTCTGAGCCCAGCGATGAACTCACATGTCACTTCTGTAGTCATGAAAGGTTTTGCATATTTTACATAAATTTTTCAAATTTGTGTTATAGCTTATAGACTGATGTCTTCTGATCTGGAGTTTGCATTCTAAGTGCTAAATCAAGATTGGCCTTACATATGAGTAATTTTTCATGAACAATTGTACCCACAGACATACCCATTTCTCAGCAAAAGTTTAAAACTAATGAGACAGTCTTTCATTGTCACAAATTTCTTGGCCAGAAGCTTCAACAGTGTGCTTAGACATAGGGACATGTTTTACTTCCATCACTATTAAATTTAAATTTATATGTTATTCTAAGTAATGATTAGTAACTGCATTGGAAAATAATTTTTTTGTGGGGATGGGGTAATATTTAAGATGAGGGTGACAGATGTTTAAAATGTGATTGTTTCCTCATTTAGAAACCTCACAGCAATAAAATATTGTGGTTTTTCAATTGTTTTAAGTTGAACACAATTGCTATGCCTGTTCTATCATTACCCTGTGACAAGCTCCATTGTTTTTATTGCATCCTCGCTCCCTACCTCTCAGAAACTTGTAGTTTTACAGTATGTTTTCAATTAATAACATGTGAAGAAATATAACTCTCTCCTTCCCATCAGTAAACTGTATCCTTCTGTACCACCCAATTTCATATGAAAATTGTGAAAACAGTTTTGTTTTCTGATTCCACACGAAGTTTTAATTTCTGTTTCCATTTGCGTATGTCATATCTTACCTGCAGATATCAGTATATCCAACAAAAATTATTAAAAGCAGGAGTGGAGTTGAATTGTACATAATTAGTGAGTTATGGACGTGGACTCTTAATTATCAGATTTATCTGAAACAGAAAAAAATTCGTAATTGTACAAAAAGCCAGATTTTGTTAACATATGCTTTTTGTCCACATAGTTATGAAATATGTTGTACCTTTATATAATATATTTCAATATGAATAGGTAATGAAAAATACTTACGTTTCCAAAAAAGGTGGAATTACAATAATGCTGCTAAATATTTTCATTTCATTGTAGGTAATAATTTATAATACAACTTGCAAAATAATGCAAGCCTCATCCTTTATTGCTCAAAGAAACTAAGAGTAAAACAGCTGATTGGGTCAGGGAGACTTGGTGATAAAAACGTGATTTCCGTTGAATGCCGAATATTTACGAAGTCATCCGAATGTAAAATCCCATTCACAGATGGCAGTGCTTTTACAATTTTGTATGGTAAACGCATTTATGAAGTGTATTACTCATCGTTTAACATAAAATAGAGTTTGAACATTTTAGGGGCAATTAAATATTAGATCAGCTCAACTAATAAGCGAAAGAATTGTCAAATGAAACTTTGGAATTTGAGTTGGCGTGACTGATAAAGAAGATGGAGACTGGCATCTGAAGTTCACTGGCAGCATTAAGTTATGGAAGCTGAGAGCGAAAGAAAGTTCTGAAGCTGAGAAAAGTTCCAGTTTTATTAGTATATGTCTCTACAGTTGTTACATCTATTTACTGTAAAGTTGTTTATATAATGCAATGAGTTTATTTTGGTACATGTATAAATAGAGGCCATGTGCTAAAGTCACGTGGAGATGCGTTGATATATTGAACAGGACGCTTTTTAGTTTTAATGGAATGGTATTACACAAGCATGATACTTTTGTATAACTTATAAAAAAGAAGCTACCAATTCCCGAGTTACAGTTTATGATTGGTACACAACTTCGTGTTTTAGGTTAAGTTGTGAAATTTACCATGGCTGATACTGAGAAAAAGTCTCCAGAACTAAGTAACGTTCGCTATGCTGAACATTTGTCTTCACCACACCACACCATCACATCACATATTATGCCACCGCCTTCGTCAGTAAGTATTCCATATCTTTTTTTATGTGTGAGTGCTTGAATCTGTTAACAAGTAGATTATGTTCTAAATTCTGTTCATTGATTGAAGGCTGATTTTTCTGTAGTGGCCATTGGTTATCGTGACTTTTCACTGTGTATGTGTATTAAAGACTAGTAATAACTATAAGTACCACCTGATTTAACAGTCAGGAACTCTGCAGTTTGTATTCATGGGTTTCATATGATTCTCAGAACAAACAGTGATAATGAGCTCTGTATAGTGGTTGGATGACTGCCATTTGATCCCTGACAGGGGTAGAGGATTTTACCTCTAGCCTCTGCGCTCAGCTCTGGGTCCCACCCAGCTACCTATCCAATGGGAACTGGGGTCCTTTCCGAGGAGGTAAAGCGCATCCGGGGCGTGACGCTGACCACTCACCTCCCATTCAGTGCCGAGGTTAAGAATCAGTAGGAGCTATACTTCCTGCCCCCCAAGTGCCTACATGGCATAAAATGGGACATCTTTACTTTTTACTGTTACTTTTACTTTACATATGTTTGTTTATCTGTCAGTACCACCTTCTCAGATGCTACTTGGGTGTATTTTATGAAATGTACTATGATATGCCATTGGAGGTCATCCCCATCTGTGTGTTTATTAAATCCTGTAATTAGTGATACCAAAATGGTGGACCCATTACTTTGGGAATTGCTTTGGTCGCCATTCATATGTGGGCTTCAGCATGTATGGTAATAGATCTCCAAAAATATGTTTTATTTGAGCAGTTTTCAGGAAGATATGGAAACTTCATAAAAAATTATAGCTTCACGATTACTGATAGGCATCAGCTGAGAGGTTGCTAAGTTGTAGACTTGTTTTGACAAAGAAATTTACACAGGCAAATGAGTTGTGAATTTTGATTGCGTGTTTGCTGATTTGCAGAGCTCTGTCCCTCGACCAATATCTACACAAGTGGCACCCCACTCTTTAATTACCCCGTTGACACCTGTAACGGGAGATCCTGGATTGGTTCCAACACTTCAGTAAGTATACTGATTCTAGAGAAAAATATTTTCAGTATTTTTTCAAATTATTTTCTTTTCATTGACTGGTTTAGGGCTTCCTTGCTCCAAGATGTTCCATGTGTTGAAAACTGTTGAGTAAACATTTTTTTCTCATATATATTATGTTTTATATTGTATTAATATTTGTATTTATTTTTAAATTATTATACTTACTATAATATGTTTAATATTGAGGAGCCTTTTATGAAACTGGAAGGCTAATTACCATGTTCACAAGCTTTCGTTAAGTCTGATACTGTAACATTTTTTAAGATGTTGGTTTTTTATGGTGAGTGCTTGTTTGCTCCCCACCAATATCCTGATCTGGCAGAACATGCCTTGTCAGATGTCCTTAACTGCTTATTCAGTACATTTGCAGCTACCCTTAATATATGGAGGCAGTCTCCATCTGTAGGCTGAGAATGTATTGTGCAGTGGTGACAAGGCACTCGCTGAACATGGTCAAGGGTTAAAAGAATGTAAATTTATACTATCATTTTATATTCAGAAATGTGGTCTCAACGGTGAATTTGGCCTGCCCTTTGGATCTGATGAAGATAAACTTCCGTACCCGCAATTCAGAGTACAACCCGTCAAGGTTCTCAGGTATTGTGATGAGGATAAGAGAGCCACATACTACTGCCCTTCTGTTCAAGTCTGGTAAGATGGTTGTGACAGGAGCGAGGAATGAGGATGATTCCCGATTAGCAGCTCGGAAATATGCTCGCATCATACAGAAACTTGGTTTTCCAGTAAGTCTTACGTTTGAGGTATCGAGTTTTTCAGTGGCAGCCTCTGCATTAGCATTTTCAATATGCACTTAATTATGACCTTGTTTTATGGTTACTTGGACGACCCATTCTTCAAGTGCCTGAGCACTGCGGGTCCCAACTTTTCATTGGCTCAATCTATAGACATTTTGGTAGGACTCCTTGGATGAGGGATCGGCCCGTCGCAAGGCCTCTACCTGTACACAGGACAGCACAACACAGAAAAACGCGGACAAACATCCTTGGTTTGAGTGGGATTCGAACCCACGGTCCCTGCGACCAAGCGGCACAAGGCCCACGCCTCAGACCACACAGCCAATGCAGACCCCCTTGTTTTATGGTCTTGTCAGAATATGCACATCTACATGGTAGAATTTTTAAGATATTAATTAAAATATATAAATGGTGCTGGTGAGATTTTGGAATCCCACAGTGACAAGTGTTGAGATGTCTGCCATTTCAGAGGAGTTCGCTGCCTTGGAGACAGCAAGCTTCTCTGAAATGCCAGTCGTTATCTCTGAGATTACACACTGCAACTTGCAGAAGATGCCAGTCTTGATGAATGGTGGTGTCCATCTGCTTCATTTTGGAGGCTTTTTTGATTATGTAAAGTAATTTATCATTTTGTATCTCAATTGCGTCATGTTTGTATGTTTCGATGTACTAAGACATGTCGTTTCTAATATGAAGATGCCAAGAATGTAATATCGAAATACGATAATAAGAGCATCAAAACATAACATAACATATTTTATATTTATATTGTGAATGTTATAATATTTTAACAACTCATTTTAATAAGTTTGTGTATAGACGGCCAAAATAAATATATGTATTGAATTTATCATTTCTGAATGAATTACATGTACACAAAAAAGTTAGTTTCTCTTTGTTTTTGTATGTAATGTTGTGGCAACAGTAAATGATTTATTGTGTAAGTATTTATCATTGGAGATATGTTAATTACGTTGTGTAATTGTTTAATACTGTAAATGTGCCTTTCTTTTCAGGTTAAGTTTTTGGATTTTAAAATTCAGAATATTGTTGGAACATGTGATCTGAGGTTCCCCATACGAGTGGAATGTTTGAACCAGATG